GCATCCCCTACATTGCAAGGCGGATTCTTAATCACTGGACCACCAGGGAAGTTGTATGTTGGGTTTCTAATTCATGAACAAAATTTGTCTTTCCATTTATTTAAACCTTTTTTATTTCTTTCATTAGTGTTTCGTAGTTCTCAGCATACAAGTCCTATACGCATTTGGTTAAATTTATACCCAAGTATTTCTAACCAGGTGGCTCAAGTGGTAAAGAATCTGCCTACCAATACAGGAGGCACAGGGGTTGCAGATTCGATCCCTGGGTTAGGAAGATCCCCTGGAGAAGCAAATGGCAACCCACTCAAGTATCCTTGCCAGGAAAATCCCATGGACAGAGAAGCCTGGCAGACTGCGGTCAATGGAGTCACAAAGAGTTGGACATGACTGAGCATACATCCACACACTTCTTTTTATGAAGATACTATCATTGTCTAGTTTTGGTACCAGGGTAATGCTAGCTTCATAAAATGAATTAGGAAATATTTCTTCCTCTTTTGTTTTCTGGAGAACATTGTGTAGAATAAATGCTCAGTTCAGTTCATTCACTCAATCCTGACTGACTCTGCAATGCCATGGACTGTAGCACACCAGGCTTCCCTGTCCATCACCAACTCCCGGAGCTTGCTCAAACTCATGTCCATCCAGTCAGTGATGCCATCCAACCATCTCATCCTCTGTCATCCTCTTCTCCTTCTGCCCTCAATCTTTCCCAGCATCAGGGCTTTTTCAAGGAGTCAGTTCTTTGCATTAGGTGGCCAAAGCATTGGAGTTTCAGCTTCAGCATGAGTCCTTCCAGTGAATATTCAGGACTGATTTCCTTTAGGATTGACTGGTTTGATCTCCTTGCAGTCCAGGGGACTCTCAAGAGTCTTCTCCAACATCGTACTTCAAAAGCATCAATTCTTCGGCACTCAGCTTTCTTTATAGTCCAACTCTCACATCCATACATGACTACTAGAAAAACCATAGCTTTGACTAGACAGACCTTTGTTGGCAAAGTAATGTCTCTGCTTTTTAATATGCTGTCTAGGTTGGTCAAAGCTTTTATTCCAAGGAGCAAGCATCTTTTAATTTCATGGCTACAGTTACCACCTGCAGTGATTTTGGAGCCCAAGAAAATAAAATCCGTCATGCTCGCTTTGGCAGCACATATACTTCCATATATCGTTCCAAAATTGGAACGATACAGAGATTAGCATGGCCCCTGCGCAAGGATGACATGCATATTTGTGAAGCGTTCCATATTTTTAGAAACTATAAAACTCCTAGAGGAAAACATAGGCAAAACACTCTCTGACATAAATCACAGCAGGATCCTCTATGACCCACCTCCCAGAATATTGGAAATAAAAGCAAAAATAAACAAATGGGACCTAATTAAACTTAAAAGCTTTTGCACAATGAAGGAAACTATAAGCAGGATGAAAAGACAGCCTTCAGAATGGGAGAAAATAATAGCAAATGAAACAACTGACAAAGAATTAATCTCAAAAATATACAAGCAACTCCTGTAGCTCAATTCCAGAAAAATAAACAACCCAATTTAAAAATGGGCCCAAGAACTAAACAAACATTTCTCCAAAGAAGACATACAGATGGTTAACAAACACATGGAAAGATGCTCAACATCACTCGTTATCAGAGAAATGCAAATCAAAACCACAATGAGGTACCATCTCAGACCAGTCAGAATAGCTGCTATCAAAAAGTCTACAAGCAATAAACGCTGGAGAGGGTGTGGAGAAAAGGGAACCCTCTTACACTGTCAGTGGGAATGCAAACTAGTACAGCCACTATGGAGAACAGTGTGGAGATTCCTTAAAAAACTGGAAATAGAACTGCCATATGACCCAGCAATCCCACTTCTGGGCATACACACTGAGGAAACCAGAATTGAAAGAGACACATGCACCCCAACGTTCATCACAGCACTATTTATAATAGCCAGGACATGGAAGCAACCTAGATGTCTGTCAGCAGACGAATGGATAAGAAAGCTGTGGTATATATACACAATGGAATATTACTCAGCCATTAAAAAGAATGCATTTGAATCAGTTCTAATGAGGTGGATGAAACTGAAACCTATTATACAGAGTGAAGTAAGTCAGAAAGAAAAACACCAATACAGTATACTAATGCATATATATGGGATTTAGAAAGATGGTAATGATGACCCTATATGCGAGACAGCAAGAGACACAGATGTAAAGAACAGTCTTTTGGACTCTGTGGGAGAAGGCGAGGGTGGGATGATTTGAGAGAATAGCTTTGAAACATTTATATTATCATATGTGAAACAGATTGCCAGCCCAGGTTCAATGCATGAGACAGGGTGCTCAGGGCTGGTGCACTGGGATGACCCAGAGGGATGGGATGGGGAGAGAGGTGGGAGGGGGGTTCAGGATGGGGAACACATGTACACCCATGGCTGATTCATGTCCATGTATGGCAAAAACCACTACAATATTGTAAACTAATTAGCCTCCAATTAAAATAAGTAAATTTTAAAAAATTAAAAATAAATTAAAAAATAAAATAAAAATAAAATCTGTCACTGTTTCCATTGTTTCCCCATCTATTTGCCATGAAGTGATGTTACTTTTTTTTTCAAAAGTTTGATAGAATTCTCCAGTGAAACCATGTGGGCCTGGAGATTTCTTTGGGGGAGATTCTAAAATTATGAATTCAATTTTCTTAATAGTTATAGGATTACTCAGGTTATGAGAGTGTAATAATTTGTGTTTCTTATCTAAATTGTCAAATTTATGTACAGTTGCTCATAGTAGTCCCTATTATCCCTTTTTAAAATTTATTTTTAATTAGAGGATAATTGCTTTACAGTGTTGTGTTGGTTTCTGCCATACAACAATGTGAAACAGCCATAAATATACATACCCCCTCTCTTGAACCTCCCTCCCACCCCTTTTGATGTCTGCAGGTCTGTAGTGATAGCTTCTATTTCATGCCTGATATCAGTAACTTATGTCTCTTTCCTTTGTCAGTCTCACTAGAGGTTTGACAATTATATTCATCTTTTCAGAGCCAGCTTTTAGTTTCACCAATTTTCTCTTTTGTTTTTCTGTTTTCCTTTTCATTGATTCCTGCTCTTCTCTCTGTTGTTGCCTTCGTTTTGCTTGCTTTGGGTTTACTTTGTTTTTCCTTTTCTATGTTCTTGAGACTTTCCTTTTGTTGTTGTTTTAATATTTACTTTTATTTATTTATTTGGCTTCACCGAGTCTTAGTTGCAGCACGTGGGATCTTTGATCTTTATTGCAACATTCACGATCTTTTTAGCTGCAGCATGTGGAACCCAGTTCAAACCCAGGTGCCCTGCAAGGGGAGCTCGGAGTGTTGGCCACTGGACCACCAGGGAAGTCCCGAGACTGTTTCTTTCATTTGTTTCAAAAGTGTTTGTGATTGCTCACTGAAGCATTTTTATGATGGATCCTTTAAAATATTTTCAGATAATTTTAGCATCTCTGTATCCTGATGTTGGCATCTATCGTTTTTCTCTTAATTCAGTTTGAGAACACTCTGATGCCTGGCATGATGAGTGATTTTTTTAATTTAAACCCCAATACTTTGGATACCATGTGATGAAACTTTTGTCTTATGTGAATCTTCTGTTTTATCTGGCTTCTTCTGACGCTGCTCTGGCAGGGGAGCAGGGGCTCCTCTTCATTACTGTTAGAAGTGCATAAAAGTCCAGATTCTGCCCCTGGCCTCTGTGGAGACCCAGTAGAGGGGAAGTGGGGAGGAGACTCCTTGTTAGTGCAGAACGGGGGTGGGAGTTCTCCATCCCTACGAGGCTTCTGCCATAGGAACGGCGCGTTACTGCTCCCCACATGCCCCCCACCCCCGACACCACAGGAGCATGGAGAAACAAGGCAGTGGTGGACATCCTGAGTCTCACCAGGGCTCCTCTGACCCCATCCTCTATTGGGGGACGGGACATCTCGTTACCGCCGAGTGGAGGTGGAAGTCCGGGCTCTCCACCGGGTCTCTTCTCTCCCTGGTGCTGGGGTGTGGGGATGGCTCACTCCCACCCAGCAGGGTCGAAACGCCCCCTCCCTACTTGTCCTTCTCTGATGTCACCACCCCCTCCCTGTGACATCACAGCCGGACGAGGGCGGAAGTCTCCGCTCCCTTGCCGGTGTGCTTGAGGGTTGGGGGTGTGGGGGGGTGGTGACAGTGTTTTCTCCGGTATCTGCTTAGTGTCTAAAAGTCCCAGCACACTGGGCACCCCTGTTTACTGGTTCTTTGGCTAGAGAGGGCAAGCGTTTGTCTTCCCATTCTCATTTCTGGGTTGCTGCCTTCTTCGACGCCAAGTCTAGACTCCCTAAGGCCAAAAGTAAACCCGGGGACTCACCACCTTTCATTCCTTGTGTCCCAGAACAGCCAGCCAGTCTGCCTCCTCCTCTCCACCTTTCAGGGTCTCCTAGGTTTATTTGGTACATAACGTCCAGTATTTTTGGATTTGCTTAGTGGGAGCAACAAGGGAAAAGATGTCCACTCCTTCTTCTTGGAAGCAGAACAATTCTTATCTTTTTATTGAGTCTTTTCACTTACAGACTGTAAATTTCATGAGAAAAACAAGCCTATAATATACAGTTTTGTATCCGCTGTAATGCCTGTGCTTATGGAGGGGCTTAATAGTTATTTGTAGGCTCGCTGGTTCACATGGTCTTGACTTCACAGAGAAAAACATTTTGAGAACTGTAACTAGGAGAGACCATTCAATAGCATCTTGTTGAATCTGTTCCCACCTGTGGTCATGGAAGTGGTCATTAGGCACGAGATTTCTTAAAGAGGGGGGTTGGCATTTTCCTTTTCATCTTCATGGAGGTCATGAGCCGAGGGCGTTCTGCCCTTGAGACCCTTGAAATGCCAACCCAAGGCCTTCCCATTTCACGACAGGTGCCCGCTCAGGGAGCCACCCTCTGAGGACTTGCCAGCGGGGTCAGAGCTCTCACTTCATGTCTCCTTTGAAACAGGAGGACCATGACACTATGGAAGCCGATCTGGACAAGGACGAACTGATCCAGCCCCAGCTTGGAGAGCTCTCAGGGGAGAAGCTTCTGACCACGGAGTACTTGGGAGTAAGTACCATGTGAAGGGAGTGGGGACCCCATAATAGAAAGGAGAGATGGGCCGTTGATGGACTTACCGTTTACAGTAACACACGAGGATTTGGCTTGATCTGTTATGACACTGTGTTTATGAGATGTTCCATCGTGACCAACTTGCTTCCAGGGGCAAAGGTCACAGTGGCCCTAGTTATTATCCTAAACAGACCCACTGGCAAACAGAAGGCGGTTAGAGTATAGCTAAAAGGCACACTCTAGAGCCTTCACAGTGTCTGAAGGTGTGCTCGTCCTTGTGTGTGTGCATGTGTGCTAAGTCGCTTCAGTCGTGTCCAGCTCTTTGCAACCCTATGGACTGTAGCCCACCTGTCCATCGGTTTCTTCAAGCATTCCTGCCGTGCTCTCCTTCAGGGGATCTTCCTAACCCAGAGATCAAATCTGTGTCTCCTGCATTGGCAGGCAGGTTCTTTACTACTAGCACCACCTGGGAAGCCCCATGCCCATCCTTAAGAGTAATCATTTACCCGTCTAGCTTCTTGGGTTTCTTGTGCCTTATCTATGAGAAGGGAAGGCTGCTGCAGGTTTGTCAGTCATCAGCACACAGTTCAGTTCAGTTCAGTCGCTCAGTCATGTCCGACTCTTTGTCGACCCCATGGACTGCAGCACGCCAGGCTTCCCTGTCCATCAGCAACTCCCCGAGCTTGCTCAAATTCATGTCTAGTCGGTGATGCCATCCAACCTTCTCATCCTCTATGGTCCCCTTCTCTTCCTCCCTTCATCAGGGGATTTCCCAAGGAGTCACTTCTTCACATCAGGTGGCCAAATTATTAGAGTTTCAGCTTCATCATCAGTCCTTTCAATGAATATTCAAGACTGATTTCCTTTAGGATTGACTGATTTGATCTCCTTGCAGTCCAAGGGACTCTCAAGAGTTTTCTCCAACACCACAGTTCAAAAACATCAATTCTTCAGCACTCAGCTTTCTTTATAGTCCAACTCTCACATCCATACATGACCACTGGAGAAACCATAGCCTTGACTAGATGGACCAGCACACAGGGGATGGCCAAAACCGTCAGGCCAGATGAAGTCACCCACTGAGGCAGAGGGTGCACAGGGAGGGGGCCGGGGCTGAGGACAGAGCGCCCACCCGCATGTCAGGAGTCGAGAAGAAGAAGGGTGGCCCCTGAAATGGACACAAAGGGAACAGTCAGAGAGGCTTAAGGAGAACCAGGAGAAAACAGTGCTGTGGAAAAAGGAGGGAGAGATCTTTCTAGATGGGTTAAGTGGTCACTCGAAGCTTTGAGAGGCCTATGGAGTCACAGGTTTGTGAGGGGCCATGATCTGAGCTCCCCAAAGACTCTACTGCTGTGGGACCCTCTAGTCACACCCACTAACCACACAGGGAAGGTGTGAATCGGGGGAGCTACCGATTGGCTGGCAGAGGATGGCAGTGTGATGGAACCTCAATCCAAAAGTGCTCAAGTGAGCAGTGGGTGCTCAAAGCTAAGATCTGAAAGGAGGAGCAGTTGCAAAGATTGAGGCCAGTTCAGACTGAAGCCCCATGACGGACAGCTGAGCACATGGGAATGAAGGCTTTAAAAGGGACTCCTGAAATTCTGATGCTGGTGGTTGACTGGGTCAGTTACATGGACCCTGAAGTCTCCTCAGATTGGGCAGGTCGGCGTTGGAGCTGGGAGCCAGGCTCTCAACAACTGAAGCAGAGACAGTGACTTGGGAAGGAAAAAGATGGCGGATGCAGGTGTGTGAGCTTTTACAGGGACAGGCGGAAGCAGAAAGCTTCCCCTTGCTGCCCCACCCAGGCCCTCATCACCTCACCCTGGGCACTGGTCTCCCTGGTCACCTCATTGTTCGTGGAATTTCCAGGGACCCCCGGCTGGAGCCAGTATATGCTGGCAGAACTTGAGTTTGGAGGACAGCCAAGGGCTGGGCATGAGGGCGTTGTTGGTGAGGGTTTTGGAGTTTACCCTGCATGAGCTGGGAGGTTGTTGGAGGGCGCAGAGCAGGGGAGTGACTCAGTTTGATTCATGTTTTACTACCTTAACTTCTGTTTCACTCGGGCTGCTTTGTGAAGAATAGAACATAGAGGGGCAATAGTGGATGAAAGAAGGGAGATGACGTAGGAGGCTGGGTGACCACTGGCCCCCAGTCACGGACAAGTGCCACTGCCCCTCAGAATGACTCAGGGATCAAAGGACCCTAACTGACCACAGACGGAGGTCAAGCGGGGAGGTGCTCGAGAAGGGCGGGGAGTGAGGCACCTGGGTTCCAAACTGTTGATGGAAATCGTTGAGCCCTGACATCTGGGAGGACACTGGCTTTGTCAGGAAGGATGGAGCTGCATTGGAGAGGATGTATATGTTGAAAAGCAAGATGGTGAGAAAAGCAGAAGGCACACTGGTGGGGCTTCTCTGGCGGGTGGTGGCGGGGCTGTCGAGAACACAGCACTCAGATGCTGTGTCTTCCCAGCGCACAAGCAGGTATGTTCAGACAGAAACCCCACCATGGCCCCTCCCCTAATAGCTTTTAGCACCTCTGCACAATGAAATGCCGTGGGTGAGATGTTAACCTGAAGATGTTAACTTGTTAACTGAAGATTTTTAACAGCAACAACAAAAACAAGACCCCGAACATGCTGTGACTCCCAGCTGGATCATGCAGGTTGGCAAGATGCAAAAGGGACAGAGTTTTGAAATCAACCAGTGGCCTGACTTAATGGCATCCAGAAATGGTGTCACTTTACTGCAGTCTGTAGTTCTATATCTCCTTAATGCATAGGTACTGTTCTTTTTACCAGAAAGAAATATTTAGAAAAGTCGCATGCATGCTTGTTTATCTCATCGGTGTCAGTCTCTTTTCAGTGGCAACATGAGTGTTAAGAATGAGGTACAAAAAAAAAGAATGAGGTACAGAAAGAACTCAGTACAGAGATGGGGAGCCCCAGTGTATTTGTTTTCTAGTAAACTGGATGGCTTCAAATCACACAAATGTGTTCTCTCCCAGTTCTGGAGGCCAGAAATCCAAAACCAAGTTGTCCCACAACCTTTCTGGCTCTTGCAGCTTCTGGCAACTGCAGGCCCTCCTTGACTTGTGGCTCTGGACCTCCATACTCTGCCTCCATCTCCAATAACCTTCTCCTCTTCTCTTTATGTTCTTTCTCTTTAAAAAAAAAAATTTATTTATTTGCCTGTGCTGGGTCTTAGTGTGACACTTGGAATCTTTTTTTTCAGTTGTGATATTCAGGATCTAGTTCCCTAACCAGGGATCGAACCCAGGCTCCCTGTATTGGGAGCACGAAGTCATAGCCACTGGACCACCAGGGAAGTCCCTATGTCCTCTTCTGTCTCGTATAATGACACTTGTCTCTGGATTTAGGATAATCTAGGATACAGACCCCATGGGGTCACAGAGAGGCAGACACGACTTAGCAACTGAACGACAGCAACAGCTTAACTAAAGTTTGCAAAGACTGTTTATCCAAACCAGGCCACATGCACAGGTTCCTGGGGTTAGTACCTGGACAGACCTGTGGGCAGCCACCATGCCACCCACTGAACCCGATCACCAAAGGATCCCCTGTGGAAGCAGTTTAAAGTCTTACTAGAAAACTTACTGTCGAGCAGTAATTGCTGAGGTTATACATACACTCCCTATTTGCTGTCTTTGTTCCTTAGATCTCCTTAGCTGCTGTTAGTCACCCGGTCTTTTTCTTTTTTTTATTTGGCTGTGCCGGGTTTTAGTTGCAGCATGTGGGATCTGGGATCCTTAATTGTGATATGGAAACTCTTAGTTGTGGCATGTGGGACCTAGTTCCCTGACCAGGGATCGAACCCCAGGCCCCATGCATTGGGAGCACAGAATCTTAGCCATTGGGCCACCAGAGAAGTCCCAGACACACAGTCCTGATTTGCAATTGGCAGCTGGCCAGCACTGCAACTCATCTCACCTGCCCCCCGTGGGTTCTGATGGTTCACACTAGAGAGGGTTGGTGGGTGGGGGAGCTGTATGCTTGTTCACATGGGGGCTGCCAACTGCTTGTGCCAAAGGAGGGAACCTGCCAGAGATAGGAGTTGCATTTCCCTAGGGAATGTGCCCCCAAATCACAACTTGTACCTCCCATTCTGATGTACTAGGGAGATTGTAGATCTATCAAGATCAGTAGAAATATGTTGATTTTTTGAAAACTGTATTCAAAAACATTTTATTGAACCCAAGTCATTTGCTGAACATACCACAGAATCCTAGAAAAGTCTCACAGGCTCTTATCTTCCAGAAGTTTATCAAAGAGAACACAGAGCAGATAAATCTGTGCTATTGATGAGGGCTGGAGATAACAGGGAGGAGTGATCAGGGAGTTGATGGTTCTCCTCCCATGCGGCTGGCCCAGGGTTCTCAAAGTCCCAGACCATTGAATGTGGGTTCACATAGAATCTAGGCCCCACCCCAGACCCCCTTACCATAATCTCAGGAGTGGTTATTGTACACACCAGTGACTGAAAAACTGCTAGTTTGGGGATAAGGATGGAGTGTAGCGAGGGTGCCCCCCCAGGGTGTTCTGAGAGTGAAAGGGAGCCCTTTCCTAGGGTTCCTGGACTCATAGCTCCTTCCCTTCTGAGCACTGATGGGCACCCCTGAGCCCTGCAAGGCCACACTCGCTGCCTGTCTGCACCCCCTCAAGGACAAGCAGACAGCACTGAGCACTGCAGAGCCCGGGGGCCATGAAAATACTGGTGACCACAGGGAGCTCAGAGAGTCCCAGAGAATAGCAGTGGTCACATCAGATGTATCCTTTACTCATAATTCTGGTGAAGAACAGCACCCTTTTGTGTTTCTTCTTCAGTAGTAGGGCAGATTGATGACTTGCCAACTTCAGTATGCTTGGTTATGTCTAAATTTTTAAAAACCATTCATACTATTCCAAAAAGTCTTAAATAAGTCTTAATTAAATAATTATTAAATAATTAATAATTCTTAATTAATAAATAATTCTTAAT